GTATAAACACACATATATACAAAAAAATATGAGTGGGATGTTCAAGACATAATAAGGAAGAGAAATTTTCTTAGCAAACTGACATAATAATTATACAGCCTGGTCAACTAAAAAGTTCTCAGAAAGAAATAATTATGTTGAAAGAATAAAAATGAAGTTGCAAGAAAGAATTTAATACCAGTCCTACTATGAAACTAATTTATAGCTTTCATGTGAAAGCTATAACCCAATTATAGCCCAAGAATATGGGGAAAGGGGAAAGGGAGGGGAGGGATGGAGCGAGGATGGGTGGAGGGAGGGTAATAGGTGGGGCCACACCTATGGTGCATCTTATAAGGGTACATGTGAAACTTTCTAAATGCAGAATATAAATGTCTTAACATAATAACTAAGAAAATGCCATGAAGGCTATGTTAACCAGTTTGATGAAAATATTTCAAATTGCATATAAAACTAGCACATTGTATCCCATGACTACATTAATGTACACAGTGATGATTTAATTAAAAAGAAAAAAAATAATTTAACATCTTTTTGAACATTCTAGGGTAGAAATAATATATTTAAGGTTTCCAGATATTACTGATTTGGAAGGACACTGAGAAATAATAGTGCATGGATATAAAGAAGTTAGAAATGTAATTCAGTATTGCATAGTAAGAAATAAATTACAGAAATACATTTTAAACTCATTTAATCTCTACTTATCCCACGATCAGTGAAGAAATGGTAATGGCACAGAGATTTTTGAATGCTATTACATGGGAAATTAGTTATGAAATTTCAAAGTAAAATGGCAAAAACACCAATAAAGTTAACACTTTACTGAGCTACATAGAAAAGAATTCTAACCCAGACAAGGAAATTTTAAATGCTCTCAAACATTCTATCTTAGGATAAATCATGCCTGAAATATCTCATTTACTTTGATTAGCACCGTATCAAAAGATGGAGATAAACTGAATGGAGAAATAAGAAAAGTAGCTTAGTATTAAAGAAATTGATTTATGGAAAATGTTATAGAAACAAAATATGTGCAACTTTGCAGAGAGACAACTAAGGGATGATGACGGCCTATAAAGATTTAAAGGTACAAACATCAGGAGGAGGAGGAATTCTTTTGCATGTTCTAAAGAGCTATGATTACGGTTTAAGGGATGAAATTAGACAACCAAGGTTTAAAGCATTCAAAACCACCTTCCTGGGGAGAATGGAAGTCTGTATTTCAAAATATAAAAAAAGTGATGTTTGGGAAACAGGAAGGCTTGCACCTTTTTTTTTCTTTTTCATTTTTTTAGAAAATACAATCAATTTAATGATGAGAGTAGGCATAAATCTCTTTTTAAGTACAACAAACACTCGATTATTTTATACATTTTACATACGTCCTTGCTCTAGAAGCATCCCCAGTGGCTCACTCAATCATTTGGCAATAGAATACAGAAGACAAATGAAGTCCCTAGAGACTTCCCCAATTCAGTGTCAGTCCTCCTTAGATGTACTTCCTAGCAGTGAGAAAAACTCACTAATTGGAATGTTGCCTAAACATTACTAAAGGATCCTAACTCATTGATTTAGAGTAATTGGAGTTACATACCAAATTCAGGTAAAGACAAATGCTGGCTGCCTTAACACTGAAAAAAAAAATCAAGATTTTATTTGCACTTGACACTAATTACTGCCTCTTTCCTGAACTGCTTACTTCTCTTTAGAAGACCTAAATTTCTAGTCATTTTTCTGTGCCCATGTTCCCTATCTCATGTTGGATGTCCTGCCGTTTCTTCAAACTCAATGGACTCCAAATCAAATTTATTTGACAATGAAATAAAATTTGCTGCACATTTTATGTATGCCAGGCTCTGGGCCATCAAGCTAGAGATAAAATCAAAATTATGAAAGCAATCCTCTAGGGAGGAACTCTCACATCTTGTCTCCCCCAATTTAGCCATTTTCCAAGATTTAAACTACTGAATTCTGTTAGAAACACTACCGAAGGCTGGATTCCCAAGAGATGCCGGGTTTTTTGAGACTCTGGTGAGCGCGATTGGGTGTCGTGACTCAGGGTGCTCTCAGGATGAATGGAGTAAGGTGAGAAGGGTAGGGCAGGAGACGGAGCTGAAGGAGGCTGTGGTCCATGCTGCAGTCCAGCTCCAGCCTGAACCCAGGGGCCGCTCTGGAGCATAAATAGTCCCACTGAGCTGACCCCACCTTGAGGCAGGTAGGATTGCCCTCTGCCCTTCTAACAGCCACTGAGTGTGGACGGCCACCTCCCCAGAGGTGCTGGGTAGCCTCCTCCCGTTTGCACTCCCATTCTTTCAGTGGATAGTAATTTTCTGCAGAAAGGTGAAACCATGAGCCCTTATCAGCAAACTCTCAAGGCTCCTAGGGGATGAATGCACTATCTGGCAAAGGGCACCTGACAGGCTCCCAGCCGTGTCTGCTATAAACACCATCAGTCTCTTTCCCGTCCCATTTATTCCTCGCCTCCATTTGGAGCAGTCCAAGTCCTAACTGACCTCCATTAATCTGCAATCATATGTTCCTAACCAGTCTCCAGCTTTCAAGAGGCAAAAAAGCATCATAGATGGACAAAGCCATTAGGTAGGACCTGGGGTGCACTTTCACGGTTGGTATGAAAGGGACACCCAGAAGAAAGAACAAATCATTTCACCATAAGGACATTTGCGTTCGAATGTTTATAGCCGCCCAATTCACAATTGAAAACATGTGAACAGTCCTATCCATCAATCCTTGGATGGATTAATAAACTGTGGCATATGTATACCATTCAGCCATAAAAAGGTGGATCTTTTTGTATTTACCTGAATGGTTTTATTCTCCTCAGTAAAGGATCTCAAGAATGGAAAAGCAAGCATCCTACGTACTCATTTCAAATCTAAAATTAGTAGATTAAATACTACAGACCCATAGCAAAGAAAGTCACAATTGAAGAAGGAGGAAGTGGAGGTGGGGGCTCAGTAAGTTCCCCCATTGGGTACGATGTAGGGGTATATGGCCCACATCCTGGGCACAGGACACAACTACATCTTGGACTTTGGACTTTACCTTACAAACACAAATAACCTAATCATATGTACCTACATACTAACCTGAAATTTAAAAAAGAAAGAAAGAAAGGAACAAGCTCTACTCAGCTCTGGATGTGAGGCTGGGGTAAGGTAAGAAGGGTAGGGCGGGAGACGGAGCCGAAGAAGGCTGTGGTCCTGCTGCAGCCCAGCTCCAGCTTGACCCCAGCAGACTGGGACGTGGGGACTGCATGTGGGGGCTTGCACCCAATGGAATTATTGTTCATGTGAGACTATTCATTTTACATCCAGTAATAATTCTAGTTTTTTTAAAGTTCTGAGGGGAAAACACATCTGCATATCAAATGTACTCAGCATAGTCATTTTGCAATAAGACAAGAGATGCCATTTAAATAAACAACTATGGGTCAAAGTGAATTGAGATAAAAATTGCAAAGGAGCTGCAGATAAGATGCAGTGGGGGTTCAGAAGAAAGTAAGCAGAGCCCAAGCCCTTAGAAGTCAGGACCCCTGCTGTTATTAAATTTTTGGGTCCCTGGTATCCAGCACAGTGCATGGCGCAAAAAAATCCTAAACAAATCTTCAAATTAACAAAACACGAAACAAAGGAGTGTGTGTCTCTCTCTGCTGGTTCCCAGGATCGCAAAAGAGTGAGGACAGAGCCCATCGCCAAGCCGTTAGCCCAGTAGTCGCCAAGCACAAAGGTGAAGCTGTCACACGCTGTCCTCTGGAGTTCTTTCAGCCAAGGTGACTCAGGGAGAGACCTCGCTTTCCTTCCAGCACAAAAAGCACGTGTCCGTGTCTTACTACATGCTGCTCCAGAGCTTGCAGACAGCACCAGCGAGCAAAGAGAAGACAGAATTAGCCTCCGGTAGCAAACAGCACTGGGAGGTCCATGTTATGGGGTATATGGTAGGAGTGACACCACCACAGAGGTAACCTCCTTCTGAAATGCCCCGTGTTCCCCCCATGTATCTCGTGTGACTAGAGCCTTGTTTTCATGCCGCAGACGGCTGCCTGCCAGGCCTTCTCGGGAGACTTGACTCACAAGCAGCACTTGGAGTTTTTGAATAAGATGATAGTGACTTTGGACCACAAATCTCTGTCCCTTGACAGGGGCCTCTCCTCTTGACCAGCATCAAAGTCCAACCAACACTGTAGGAGGGACCTGAGCAGCCCCAAGGCCATTCCAGAAGAGCTGAGCAGTGCCAAGTCCAGTTGGCTGACTCCAGGAATCTCCAGCCCCTTTCCAGAGTAATCCTTCCTCACACCCCCTTCCTACCCACAATGGAATATTTCCACACAAGTTCTGATCCTGTTTTTCCATGTGATTATCATCAAAACGTGAGGCTTCGTCTCCTAGAGGCTCATCTGTTTGATACCGGGCCTCGTTCTCTAGGGCCCTTCTCTGTTTGTACACTAAGATTGGGTGGGAGAAATCCTTACATTCTGGAATTCTCAGAGACCTCCAACTTTAGCAGAGGGATCCAGGGCTCTAGAGGGAGTAATAAATACTGAATGTAAATATTTTTTTGGGGGGGGGCTGTGTTTGTTATTTGAACTCTACCACACAGCCCTCTTCTCTGTTGCTTGGCGCTGAAAAAAGAAAAAAAGTTTGTTCATCACAGAATTGAAATTCTCTACGCTATTAATGGAGTTAGTTCTTGACAAATTAGCCTTTCACTCCTGGGCCTTCCTCCTCTTCTGCTCCAAGAAAATATGTACTCGCCTTTTGCAGGGACTTGGCAAACTGCAGTCTTGGATGACTCTGACTCTCCACCTGCTTTGTCTCTACTCCGGAGGGCGGAGGAAAATAAATCACACAATAATCTAATCTCCAGTCCACCTGTTTGTTTTCTTTTTGCAGACACAGGCCTCTTCCTTCAAAGAAGAATTAGCAGCCTTCAGAGTGAAACGTTCCCCAAACTCCTGGAGGACACTCAACTGTAATTACCTGGTGCAGACGCTGAAGTGTCCTCTTCCTCTTCCGTGGACTCCTTCCCTGGGTCGGGAGGCCTCCTGCTCACATCTTCTGGTCTTCAGCCTCTCTCTCTCCCACTGCAGCATTTGATGCAGCTGAGCCCAGCCTGTGCCGCTGTCCGCCCTGTGCCTTCCTGATTTGCAATCCCGCCTCCCTTTCTGCACCGTCTCTGGGGCCTTACTGCTGAATCTTCCTCTCAGCTTCTGAAACGCCTTAGGCATCTGTCCCAGGTCTCTCTTCACTCTGCATTGCACGCCATCACAAAGTCACTCAATCAATTCTTGTGATTTAATTTGCCATCTGTATGCTGATGGATTTTTATATAATTCTGTATTTAAGTTGCTCAAAATGAGACATGCTCACGAAACAAGGCAGAGTTTAGAAGGTTTACAAAGAAAATTCTGCGCTTTCTTGCACCTCTCCCCCTTACCCACTGCCCCAAACTGCAGAAGAGGCTTCTCTTAATCAGTGATGTCTTTCTTTATGTTGTAGAGTTCCCTAACTCCAAGCAGAGTGCTTATACTTCCACTTCATGATTTTTAGACAATCTCTGCTGACTTCTAATAAGAAAGAGGAGCATATAGTTCACTAAACACCACTCACTCTTCTCTCCCACTTCCCCTTCCAGTATTTACAATTTAATACACTTCTCTATTGACTATCCTTGAAACTTTAAATAATAACAATTCAATTTCTGATTTTCCCTTCAACTTTCAGCAGTATTTCTTAACCCCCCATTCTGTAACATAAGAGTACAGTCTTCCTTCCCCTTCCACCTTCTATCTTATGTCAACTACACTTGAACTTTGCCATTACTTTTACCCTTTTATCATAACCACATTTCTCTTGCTTCATATAGAAATTCACGCTAAGAGGCAGAAGCCAACCAACAATGCTGCTATGACTATAAAATCTAAGCAGCATTTATACCCCATTATGCTGTAAATAGTTTCTTGTTGAGCCAACTGTGAGTGGGAACTATACTTCCTTCTCCAATTTCACAACCCCTATACCACTGCTAGAATATTCCAAGCATAAAGATCAGAAAGTATTACCTTTTCTCCTGCTCCCAATTTTTTAAAATTATGTGAAATTATAATTTCATCATTTTTAAGTAATGACTTTCTTATACATGTCTGCCTAACATTCCTAATTGCCTTTCGTTGGTTTCTGCACCATTTGCCTAATCACCCCCTGCATCGTTTTAGACCCTACATCATATTATTCCATGAAGTTCCCTTTCCCTCCCGGCCCCTATTCTCCTGACCAACCTGGCCAGCTTCATCTTTATTCTTCTGCCTATCAGGTGTTCTGGAACTTTCCTTTCCAATTTGAAATCATGGTGTCCTGAATCTGTTTTCCTTCTTCTTAGATATGTATGCCCTTGTTTTCCTGGAGTATACTCTCCGGTAACTTCTTTAGAAAGGATGTGCACGGGGAAAATGGTCTGATTCTTTGCATGTCTAAGTGTTTTTGTTGCTTTGCTGGGACCCGTGGCTGTGAGTTGGGCTGATTATAAGCTTGAAGGCCTTGCTCCTTTGTATTCCAGCCTGCAGGGTGGCTGATGCCACATTGATCCCTATTCCTCTGAAAATGATAGAATATTTTTCTCAGTTGAAGCTCTTATCATGTTTCATTTATCTCATGCTTTGAAACCTCCTGTTGCTTTGTCTAGGGAATGTCTTTTTCATTTATTTTCTGGGTACATGGTGAGCCCTTCCAATTGTCTGAGGCCAGGTGTCCTGGAAGGAGCCTGAGCTGAAAGCTTATTAATGGGGAGTGTAACGACAGAGAAGCAGGAGTGAGAGAAAGTGGCGTGAGGCGAAGGAAGATGGAGAGAATTACCAGGGAGTCCACGGCTTCATGAAAAGCTGATTGCTAGGTCCTGCAGGAAATCTTCAGGAGGGAAGTTTAAAGAGATGCTTCTCCACAGAGTCCTTCGGAAGAGGGGAAAAGTGTGATTTTCTTAGTACCCTCTCCTTTTGATCAAAGATTGCTCCCTGGGATAACTCCCACACACATGAAGGCTGCATATTTATTGGTGCCGAGGGAGTCCTGAGTAACAACAAGGAATCTTCAAGGTAGGAGGCAAAGGACACTGCAGGGACAGGAGGCACGATGCTGTCAAGTTGTGTCCTCAGGTGACTTGAAGGGCCAAAAGGAAGGCGGCACAGCAGGCCCCTTTGCAGAGGCAGCAGCAGCAGCAGTGACCTGACTTCATCACCATGGGAACCGCGGCTGTTGCTGCAGATTCAGGCACCATGGATCTGGGTGGCACGGAGAGTAAACCCCATGCAACTACTATTTTGGCAGAACTGAGCCATTGTCAGGTGGCCCTTCTATTGTTTCAATCTGCTCATTTTCATTTTTAACCTCTAAGAGCTCTTCTTGGTCTCTGTTCCTTGCTTGAGCATGAGATCTTTGATTTAAAGCCATAATAATTTCGCAAATACCCATGAGGATATTGGTTAAATTATTAAAGTTTTCTTCCAAGCAGAGGCAGTCTGTGGTGGCTGAGAGGATACACCATAGAGGCAGAAAGCCCAGGGTTTGAATCTCAGCTCTGCTATGGCTTTGCCACCTTGTGAAACTTGTGCAGGCCTTAGTTTTGATAAAGTTCAAGACCTCAAAATATGACACCTTGGCATAATGATCCAGAAAACAGCAGAAACAGCTGGAAGTTTTCTCTGACTTAAAAAGGATTTTCTGGTCTTTCCCTGATGCCTCATGTGATAGGAGCCCTGTCTACACCTGAAATCTTTTTTTTTTTTTTTTCCGAGACAGAGCCTCAAGCTCTCGCCCTAGGTAGAGTGCCATGGTATTACAGCTCACAGCAACCTCCAACTCTTGGGCTCAAGCAATTCTTCTGCCTCCGCCTCCCAAGTAGCTGGGACTATAGGCACCTGCCACAGTGCCTGGCTATTTTTTGGTTGCAGCCATCGTGGTTGTTTTGCAGGTCCAGGCTGGATTTGAACCTGCCACAGTGTGTGTGGCTGGCACCTTAGCCGCCTGAGCCACAGGCGCCGAGCCTACCCCTGGAATTTTAACACACAGTGGAATCTTCACTCACAGGCCTTGCTAAGTTTCCCTAGTTGACTATACTTACCTCAGACTCTTTATTCTATCCTAGTTCTCCATGACTATCCACTCTTCCAGCCTACTATTAAAAATAAATCTCAGGTTTAACTATTTCTTTGAGCCTTCATTTCCTTAAGCAGTTTCCTGTGTCACATACAACTTACAGAAAATAAATCTGTGTGCTTTTTCTCTTGCTAACCTATATTTTGTTACAGAGACTCTACCCCATGAACCTGAGATGGGTAGAAAGAAAAGAAATTTTTCCTCTTCTATAGTTGCTTTTCTTCTTTCTTTTCTTTTTCTTTTCTTGCTTCAAACAGATAGAAAATACTTACTGCACAAAGATGTAGACATATCACTTTGTTATATTTAGAAAAGATGCTAATTAATAATTCTGAGAAACCTTTACATTTTGGTTACTCAACTTACCTCTAGGTTCTAAAAATCTGCACTTTGTTTAAAAAGAAGTCTCTCTGATTGTCCCAATTACTTTTGCTACGCCAATGACAAAAACAAAGCATCTTCAAGAAGGTCTGTGCATTTAAATGACATACTGTTTGTAACAAACTTATTTGAACAGCTATTATAATACATCAATATTAAACCAACAAGTACATTAAATACCCCCTTAATAGAAACAGGAAATACAAATAATAATGCCAGCCTGGAACTGGTAATACAACTCCACAATTAATAATCAAACTGTCTAGGTTAATGATATTTAAAGACATGATTAGTCACTACCTCTCTCAGAATAATTGAACACACTCACGTTCTCATCAACCCAATACTAATTGCGTGATCTCACATTCTTCTCCAGGCCCTGGTTTCCAGGTTGGAAAAGCCCTGTCGTAGAAGAGGCCCAGAACATATTGGTCCTGTGGTTTTGATCTGATTCTTCCCAATCTTTGATAAGTGTAGAAAGTCTAGAGGGGTCTCTGTTAACATTGTTCTCAATCTCTTAATTTTGCTGGTTTTCTTCACCATGTTGCCTTTTCATCTTACTTTGCCTGTCTCTCTAGCATTTTCCATTCCCGTTTATGTTAATCTCTCTCTCGAAACCTAGAAATACCAGCCGCAGCAGTTTTCCTTTTTTCTGCCTTTTTTTTGCCTTTTCCCTTATCTCATTTTCAAGCCTCACAAATTCTTCCTGTTTTTTCCCCTGCCGGGTAGAACTTTCTGGCAGTAATTTTAGTTTAAACAGCTCTCTCTGCCACTTTTTCTCTTCCCCTTCTTTTAGCTTCTGTCAAATCCAAGCACATTTCATTGACATTTATACACTTTCTGTTAACTGCCAATTTCTGTTTCTTTTTCTGTTCTTCTTTTTTGCTTTTGATCATATTCTTTATCACGAAGCAACTAGGTATATCCTCTGTCTTTTCCTTAACTTAAACGTTTTCTCATTTTTTGCTGTTTTTTAGTTTTCTGATTTTTTTTTATTTCTCCTAGAGTCAGAAATTGTTTATGCCGCCTCTCATACTGTTAAACTTTATCCTGGGCCCCTCTAGGACCGTGTTCTAAAACGTCCCCCATACGTGCTGGCTTCTCTTTATCTTCATTCCGACTTTGACAAAGTTCTGGTTACGTAATTGTCCAGCACTCTCCACAGCCTCCTGGTTGCTGAAGGAATTTTTCAAAAGCTATCATTTCTCCTGGAAGAGTGTTTTGTGGTACTCTGTCTACAAGAGCTCTGCTTTAAAATGCCCTGAAATTCTTGCTCCATATTTCTAGGGCAGCCACGGATCATGTGCCCATTTTTCCTAATTAATTACTCAATTCATTATTAGTTGTTTTCTTTTTTTATTTATTTATTTTTTTATTAAATCATAGCTGTGTTCATTAATGCAGTCTTGGGGTACAGTGTGCTAATTTTATATACAATTTGAAATATTTTCACCATACTGGTTAACATAGCCTTCATGGCATTTTCTTAGTTATTGTGTTGAGACATTTATATTCTGCATTTAGAAAGATTCACATGTACCCTTGTAAGATGGACCATAGGTGTGGTCCCACCACCCATCCTCCCCCTTCCCCTTCCCTCCCTCTCCCCCATTCCCATATTCTTGGGCTATAATTGGGCTATAGCTTTATGAAAGCTATAAACTAGTTTCATAGTAGGGCTGAATACATTGGATGCTTT